AAAAAAAATTATTATTTTATTTTGAGATAGGGTCTCCTAAACTGCCCGGGGTTAACCTTGAACTTGCCATCCTCCTGCCCTCCCCATCCCAGCCTCATTCATTCTCGCAATAACCTATTTTACATGTAAGGAAACAGGCACAGAGAGGTTAAGCGACTGGCACAAAGTCACAGAGCCAGCAAGTTGTCACCACCAGAATGAGAACCCAGGCAGCCAGCCTGGCCTCAGGGTTCATCCTCTCCACATCACCATATGGTAGGATCCTGTCCAGAGCACACACCTGCCCTGGGCACCTCAGTGCTCTCTGCCATGCGCCATCTCTCACCACCCCACCCAATGACATCCTCCTTTCTCCTCTCAAAGAAGCTTTGAGGGCTCCTTTCTGCTCAGGGAGTAACATGTGGAACTCTCCACCTTCCAGGTTTTGCACGGCTGGCCTGGATCTGCTCTGGGCTGCACCCGGGGGTGCTCCACCGGGGTCACCCCTATAGAGATGCCGTGCCCACCCTTCTCCCTCTGCAGCCCACCCCAGACTCGGAGGCTCAACTTGGACACTGCCTCCCTGCCCCTCCGGTGCACACCCCCAGAGGCCCAAGCTCACTTCACAGAGATGGAGAACTCCCCAGGAGAGCTCTCACTCTCCCGGATCAAGAAGGCTCCCAGATGGTTCCGCTTCATCAGAATCTCCTCCGCCAGCTGCCGGGAAATCCTGCCCGAGTACCACCTGTGGAGAAAGGGGCTGCTGAAGGCAGTGGGCAGGCCAGGTGCCCCCCCACACACACACACTGCACGATGTTGAGGTGCTCCATCTCACTGATCCTCGAGACAGTCCTAAGATGTGGGGGATGGGGTTGTTCCCATTTCACAGATAGGGAAACCGAGGCCCAGAGCAGCAAAGCCAGTTGAAGCAGGAGCTGGGATACCGCCCCAGTACTTTGGCACCTGAATCTCACCAACCTTTCCTACAGGTATATATGCACCCAGATGAGCAAAAAAAAAATTAAATTCCCATGAACCACAAGCACCATGCCGCGGTGATGACGGATTCAAGTAAGTAAACCAAGAGTATAGAGAAGGTGTCTCATAAATGCCTAGTCTCTTGAAGATCCCCAGGGAAACTGGAATCCAACTTCTCTTTCAGTTCCCCCTAAGACGGCTCCAGGCAGCCCTGCCCCCCCACACTTTATTATTATTATTATTATTATTAATACTGGGGATTGAACCCAGAGATGCTTTACTACGGAGCCACATTCCCCAGCCCATTTTATTTTTTATTTTGAGACAGGGTCTCGCCAAGTTGCTTAGGGGCCTCCCTAAATTGCTGAGGCTGGCCTCAAACCTACAATCCTCCTGCCTCGGCCTCCCAGATGACTGGGATCACAGGCGTGCACCACTCACCCAGCCTCCCCTGCCCTCTTTGAGTCTCACCCACTGGTATAGACTGACAACTTGCATTCCCCACCTTTCACATACTAAAATCCATTCCTCAGTGAGATGGCATTTAAAAGTAGAGTCATTGGGAGGTAAAGAGGGAGCCCACATGAGTAGGATTAGTGCCTGCCTGATTTGAATATGTCCCCACAAAGCTCAAATGTTGGAAACAGCCTCCAATACAGCAGTGCTGAGACTTGGGACAACCGGGAGGTGACTGGGTCATGAAGGATCTACCCTCATTAATAGATTAATCCACTCATGGATCAGTGGATTATTGAGGAAGTGGATGGTTATGAAAGTGAGTGCTTTCAATCTCACTTGCTCTGTGATGCCCTGTGCATTGTTAAGAAGCCCCTCACCAAATGCCAAGTGGATGCTAGCACCACGCTGTTGGACTTCACAGCTTCCATGAGCTAAATAAACCCCTGTGCTTTATAAATTACCCAGAGTTGGGTATTCTGTTATAGCCACAAAAAATTGACTAAGGGGGGAAAAATAAAGACCCCAAAGAGCTCATGTGTCCCTTCACAACATCACGACATGGCTACCAGATGGCCATCTATGAACCAGGAAATGGCCCTCCCCAGACACTGAACCTGCCAGCCCTGATCTTAGACTTCCCAGCCCCCATATCAGTGAGAAATAAACATCTGTTGTTTACCAGCCGCCCAGTCTGGATTCCCACACAGCGGCCCAATCAGAGACACCCAGCCCAGGGAGGCCAGAGGGTCCCCACTGGCTTCCTGGCTCCTGGACCTTAGCCCAGCCTTAGTTCTGACCCCTTTGTTGTTCACATGGGGAAACTGGGGTCCAGATCCGCTGGGGATCTCACGGTGGGACCACGATAGGCCAGGGCAGGGTCCAGAGCCTGTGTCCCCTCGTGTCTCTCTTCCCTCCTTCCATGAGGACTTCCTGAGCCAGGGTGCATTTGGCCTGGGTGGAGATGCCAGGTGTGACCTTTCCTGCCGTCTGCAGATGTTGAGGCCTCCAAGATAAGAGCAGAGGATGGGAGGGCTGCCAGGGTACTCCTCCGGGTCCTGCCTGTGTCCCTGCTCTTGCCTCCACTCAGTGAAGGCTGCCGGGCACGTGCCCGGGCTTTTGTCTGGCAGGAGCAGAGTTGGCCTGCCATGTGCAGGGCAGGCTGAGGCCCTGGAACATTCTCAAGTGATGACGGTCTGGAGCAGGGGGGTGGACACCCACTCCCTGCCCCTGGGGGTATGTGTGTGGGGGGGTGACATCTCCCTGACGTCCATGAGGGGATGGGATTCCAGCTGCCCAGCAGCGAGGGGCTCCTTCCAGTCCCTGTCTTCCTCCCTGCTCCCCACGTGGCTTCGCAGGGGCTACTGGTAGGGGAGCCCACGCCTCCAGATACTAGCCTCTAGGTCACGGTTGTCCCCCTACTGGCGGGAAACCCGGAGGCTGGAGTCTGCCCGCCATCCCCCGCCTGGGCTACTCTTAGAGGATGGGGAGGTGGCGGGCCCAAGGTCAGGGTGACCCGGGAGGGGAGGTGCCACAGACCCTCCTCCAACCGTGGCTGGAGGGGAGTTTCCCAGGGGGCCAGACGTCTCTGAAGAACCCTCAAAACCCCCACAGGAGACGTCAGCGTGTGGGCGGCTGTCGCCCTCAGAGGGTGTCACACCCCAGGGAGGCCCCACACCCCCTGCCAGCCCTGCCCGCACCCTGGCAGCTTAAAGGAAGGGGTTCCAGGGCCCCTGAGCCCAGCGCCTCTCTCCACGCCAACACCACTGCCTTCCAACCACTTGGTGTGGTCCCCCACACCTTTTTTTTTTTTAAATAATTTTTTTAGTTGTGGGTGGACACCTTTATTTGTTTCTATGGGGTGCTGAGGATGGAACCCAGTGCCTCTTGTGTGCTAGGCAAGCGCTCTGCCACCGAGCCACCGCCCCAGCCCTTGTCCCCCTTTCATTGATGTGATGCCCCTCCCAGAGGCTGCCCCACAAGTTCACGTCTGGAACTTTCCCCAGCCCTGCAGCTGCTCTGACAGGCTTTCCCAGCCCTCCTCCTGGCCGGCCCCACCCTGGTCCCATGCTACCTGATCTGCCATTCCATCTACTGTGTGACTTCATACAAGTCACTCAACTTTTCTGTGCCTCTGTCTCCCGGCCTGTGAGACCATATTGGTAGTACTCGCCTCCTAGAGGCCTGGGAGGATAAATGGCGGCTACCCGCAGGTGCTTGCTGCCTCGGCGGTGACCAAGTAGTTCATGCCCCTCCTCCCACACACCCTTCAGCTGGTCCTCTAATGATCAGGCCCAGTGGACCATGGTCTTCCTCAGGAAAGCCCTCCCTGCCCCCCCCCCCAGCCAGGTCAGGGGCCTCCCTGCCCTACGTGGCCGCCTCTGGGAGCATTTGGGTCTGCAACATGGTCTCCTGGGGGGTGGTGACATTGGGTGCTCAGGGAAGGAGGGGGCCTGGCACAGGCACAAGGCCTGCCGGGTCCCCGCCTTCCCCACTAAGGCCATCGTGGCTGACTCAGGGACAGTTTTAGAGTGTTTCCCGAGCTATCTGGGGACCCAGCAGGTGCTCAGGTGAGCCAGGCTGAGACCAGCCCTGGGCCTCAGGGGCCTGACCCCACCCGGCTCTGTCCCAGGCACAAGTAGCCTGAGCTGACCCCAGGGGAGGCTGGCACCCTCCGTGGGCCTCAGCAGCGTGGCCTTCTGTCATCCTCTGTCCCTCAGCTGAGCAGGTGGAACTCTGTGCTCAGGGCTTCTCAGCGGCATGAGGCCCTCCGCCTCCCAACTTGGCCAGGCCTCGGCCTCCACCTGAAGCCTGACACTTGGCCCAGGGCCATCACCGGGCCCCTGTCCTTGTTCTGGGCTCCTCTGGCCCCGACTCAGGCCCTGGTGGAGTCTCACCACCTCTCTCCCCTCACGCACCACCTGTCCCCTCCCTCTACTGGAGGCTGTGGCTGGCTCTGTGGGGAAGGGAGGCCGGGAATGCCTGTAGCTGGGGGCGGAGTGACTGGGGACCTGGGCGGGTTGGGGCTGTGCCCCCGCACAGGAAGCGGAGGTGGTGGCAGCTTTGGAAAAATAACTCAAAAGAAGATAAAGAGGAAATACCCCTGGGGCTCCACCCTGGGCCTGCACCTCCTTTGTCCTCCACCCCCAGCTACACCTCAGAGCTCCCCAACTGTCCCACCAGCCTCATCACCTCGGTCACTTGTGACTGTATTCTTCCTTCCTGGAGTACCTCCGGGACTCTCTGCTGCCTGGCCTGGCGTTTGGGGGCCTCCTGCCCGACCCACCCATCATGGCTTCTCCCTCGTGGCTCTCCCTGGGCTACCCCTGACCTCTCCCCCAGGGTGGGTGCTTTTTCTAGGTAACCAGCTCCTACCCACCCTTCAACATCCCACTCACTGCCACCTCTCCTGAGAAGCGTTGCTATGTGCTATGTCCTTCATGTCCTGTGTCTCCCATGGAGCAGGGCTCTTCTGACCTCTGTGTCTCCAGGAGCTAGGGGCCATGTCTGCTGAATGACTGTTACTTAAAGCATTTCTTTCCACTTGGTTTTTTTTTTTTTTTTTCCCAGAGATTTCTTAACTCCCTGGGCTGTTCTGGGCTGGACTCTGCCCCAAGGATTCTAAGGGCAGCCATGTGGGGTGCTACCTGCGGAGAACCTGACCTAGGACTTCCCAGGGGCCAGGAGGTGCCAGGCACTGGGAGACCTGGGGCCCAGACCCAACTCCCGCTCTGCCCAGGCCCCAGACTCTGCTCAGCCAGTGTCCACTACCCCTCAGGATGTCCAATGCCTTTCCTGGCAGAGCAGGCCCGGCCAGGCCAGCCGGGCAGCGACACACCAGGCTCAGGGTCAGGGGTGGAGGCTACTCACGGGTGGGGCTTGACCCGGATGTAGTTCTTGGGGATGAAGCCCTCAGCACCCCGGAGCTCAGCCTTGTACCAGTTCTGGTCGTCTTCCATGTTCAGGATCTGCAAGCGGAACAGACACAGCCACTCAGTCACGGAGAAGAAGTGGCTGTCACCCTCGACTTGCAAGGCTCCAGGTGGGCTTCATCTGGACCAGCCTCTGAGCCCATTCACAGAGGAGGGCAGGGGGCCCTGCTCAAGGTCACCCAGGTCGAGTTAGAACCAGCCTTTTGACAGCCGGGTCCCATCTTCAGGAGCTTTTGTGGGACAGTTGGGAACTCAGATGTTTTTGGGTTGAAAGTTTTGTGTGGCTGGAGTTGGACTCACAGGCTCGGCAACCAGATCTGAGGTCTTGGGAGCAGATCTAGGGCTCCTCAGATCCTGTGTCCGCTAGCACAGAGTCTCACCCGTGTGCCCACCATGCAGGGCACCTTGGGGTGAAGGTTGGAGGTCCCCAGGAAGATCAGGGAGCCCCCACCTGAGCTCAGAAATGAGTGGCTACCCAGAGGGACTGACATGTCAAACGCTCTACGGTTCAAGCTCAGGGGCAAGGACGGGGAGGGACAGGCACCGTGACACAAATGAGCAAGGTTTGTGTGCTGCACAAGCTGGTTGCCGGGTCCCACGGCTCCTCTTCAGGCCCAAGAAGCCTCCTTTGCCTCACAGGTGGGCAGAGAGGAACCGAAACCACCAGTGTGGGGGTGGTGAGTTGCTGTGGGTGAACAACCAAGGGGCAGAGGGGAGGAGCAGGCCTGGGCCTGGGAGGGTGACCACATGAAATTAGGGGGTTCCTGCCTACATTTCCTAGGCACAATTTCCATGGGTCACTCCAATTCCCAAGCAACCGTCTCCTAAAATGCTATTTTATGGATGAGCCCAGAAAGGGAAGTAACTCAGCCAAGGCCACACAGCAGGGGATAGGCAGAACCTCTATGGTCAGCCTGTGGCTTTGGGTTTTGTTGGTCTAGGGGGACCCTGGCCTACAAGTTTTTTTGCTTTGTTTTGTTTTTGTTCCTTTAATAGTTTTTAGTTGCCAATGGACCTTTATTTTATTTATTTATATGCGGTGCTGAGAATCGAGCCCAGTGCCTCACACATGCTAGGCAAGCGCTCTACCACTGAGCCACAACCCCAGCCCCTGGCCTACCAGTTTTTTTACCCCCACTCCACCTCCCACTTTGTCTCTGGACAAAGGGTGCAACTTTCCTGCTCCTGTTTGGAGCAGGCTTCAAACACTGGGTACATATTCTCCTCTTTTATTTTAGTATCATTCCTTATTCTTACATTCCCATTATCATAACTTTTACTAATTTACATGAAAATCATCTGCACTCACACTAGGTAGACATTTTTTTTATCTTTTCTGCTTTCATGGTTAGCCTTATTCCTACACTGGATACAAAATTATCATCTCCAATTGACACTGAATAACCATTCAAACCTTTACTCTTGTTCTTAGGTTTTGTTTGAGAAACAGAAACTGTACAAGGGAGCTCTACCACTGAGCTACATCTCCAGCCTTTTTTTTTGGGGGGGGGGTGTACCAGGGATTGAACTCAGGGGCACTCAACCACTGAGCCACATCCCCAGCCCTATTTTGTATTTTATTTAGAGATAGGGTCTTGCTGAGTTGCTTAGCGCCTTGCCGTGGCTGAGACAGGCTTTGAACTCACAATCCCCTGCCTCAACCTCCTGAGCTGCTGAGATTATAGGTGCGTGCCACCAGGCCCGGCATCCCCAGCCTTTTTATTTTTTATTTTGAGACAGGGTCTCCCTGAGTTGCTGAGGTTGACCTTGAACCTGTGCTCCTCCTGCCTCGGTCTCCTGAATACCTGGGATTACAGATATACCCCCACACCTGACTTACTCTTTGGTTTAAATTTTAAACTAAATTACTTCTCAATCATATTGATACCAGTATCATTTTAAAAAAATATATTTATTTTTTTGGTTGTAGTTGGACACAATACCTTTATTTTATTTATTTATTTTTATGTGGTGCTGAGGATGGAACCCAGGGCCTCGCACGTGCTAGGCGAGCGCTGTACCGCTGAGCCACAACCCCAGCCCCCCCAGGATCACTTTTTATCACATGATCTATTAGAGAATTTTCTCTAGGATGTATGCACTCAGATCCCAATATAAGTCAACTTATATTCCTTATCACTCTGCAAATTCTGGTCACAGCCAACAATTTATTTCAACTCCTCGTTAACCGAGAAGAAGTAGGTATGACATCATTCTTATTAGTTGTATGATGATTGGGTCAATCAGATGCAAAACAAAGGCTCTTCAAGTATCTTAGATCATTGAATTGGAGATATTGGATTTGTTCTGCTGGTAATATACATTTAACACATGAGAGTCTCAACAAATACTGATTTTTCCATTTCTTTCCTATGGTCCTGGGAATTGAACCCAGGGTCTGGGCAGGCTGGGCAAGGGCTCTACCACGGAGCCACCCCAGCTCTCCACAAATATCAGAACCAATTTTAGACCTCATCTCTTTCTCTTTGTTAGACTGGAAAAATCAGCTCAGTTTGGTCTCCACCCAGGACTCCCGTCAGCCACGGAAGGACCTACACCAGTATCAGCTCTTCTACATTCAAATACAATAATAGCAGGGACTTTTCTAGGAACCCACTTCTCATCATATACCCAAGGGCAGCCAGGCCAATGCAAGGGTCCTAACTTAGTGAAATTCCGCCAGGAGGAGCCGGGATTCATTCCCTCAGCTCAGGCCTGAGGCCTGTCGGGCCACCAAGCCAGGATGAGCCCTTCCTTCCTGCCCCCGGGGTTGAACAAGGTGGCAGTCCCAGAGACAGACGGAAGCAGGTGGCTGGCTCAGGAAAACTTTCCCTCAGAGCAAAACAAAATGATTTCCCGGACCAAAAGAGAAAATCAGGGCCTGTGCACCACTTGCCCCCCGACCACGGCTTCTAAGAAAGACACCCTGGAGCCAGGAATTAGGGACCTATCTGCGTCTCTATCTGCTTCTGACGCTGTCTGTAGCCAGGGTCTGAGTTTCTTCTTCTGTTAAATGGGCACACCCATGGCCTACAGTGAACGTGGCAATCTCTCAGGGGCTACAACACCCTGTGTGGACGCAGGAATGTCACAGGTCTAGGTCTTCTATGTAGCCCTGTCTTATGTTGTCTTGTTTTCCTGTCTGTCACCTCAGAGGACCCAGGAATGTTCTCCTGGTGATGTGAGCTCAATTCTTTCTGCCAACATGGCTCTGAAGTTGGAGATGCGGGAATTCCCACAAGGGAGGGACTGGCTCCGTGCTAATGAAATATCACTGCCCAAGATGATTCAGGCCTTGACCTGTCCCGGCAGGGGCCTTCCGCCCAGGTGACCTTCCTTCCTCACTGTTCCCTGCCTCATGAAGTTGACTCGACAGCTCTTTACTGAGCACCTACTGTGAACCTGGCGCTGTGCCGATGAGCCCTGGCGATGCAACAGGAACCAGGAGCTTGCGTTGCAGAGGGCAGAGGCAGACATCAATAAGGAAAGGAGCGAGTCAACAGGTGGTTTAGTGTAGGGGTAAGTGCTCGGAACATCGTACACTGGGATGACACAGGTGGGAAACGTCGGATGGAGGCAGGGAGAGTGTCAACAGCCACAGTAGTCAAGAAAGGCCTCTCTGGGGAGGTGACATGTGGACTGAGCCCTGAATTATAAGAAGGAAGCAGCAATGAGAAGATGTGGGGAGCAGAGTACAAGGCAGAGGGAAATAGCCAGTGCAAAGACCCTGAGGTGGGACCAGTTCTGGGCCTGGATTGAAAAGAGACCAGTAGGTCTAAAGTTGGGAGGGGTGGGCTCTGAGTGCACTTCCCAGTTAAGTGAAAAGCAGTGGGGTCCTGTCCCCCTAAAAATGCCTCACCTTTCAAAGAGGGAGGCCTTGTCCCAGGAAGGGACGTTCATAGGTCCAGAGGGAGTCCATCTGCCACCGAGGTTCATCTAAAACCCAGGTTCCGATGGGAACCACCTCACTTCCTTGCAGGGCACTGGAGTGGGACTTGACTTGCACGGCTGGTGCTGCGGGAGCAGAGCTTGGCCTGTCGGGAGGGAGCGCTCAGGAAGCATTTGTTGGATCAGAGAGCAGGATCCTTGCAGGAATTCGCAACCTCCCCCAGGCCACAGTGGGGGAAGGGCTGGCCACCAGCCACTCACTGTGGC